AACATGACCAAGCTTCATTCATAATCCCAAGATACTCCATGTGCATTAAACACCAAGTTTAACCATTTCCTTGACGAACTAACCTGTTTATTTTGAATTCTCTGCAACCAACTGTTCAACACTTTAATATCTGAATCTTCAATAACACAAGCAAAAAATAAAAAGAAGTTTTGCACAAAGGATTGGAAGCTTACCCTTGTAAAGGAGCTGAATTTTTGTACTTTCTAAAGTAGAATTCGATCAACGTAAGACCTATTGATTTTGCAAGAAGTCTACAATTAAAAAAAAGTTTATCGGAAAAATGAGTTTATTTATGTAAAAACAGACCAGCATCGGTGGGTCGGACGATGTCATGGTAGGTTAATCCCTCATTAAGTTCTGGCCACGACACTCCAAAGTAGGCCGTCACCGCTGCAAGCTCTGCTTTTTCTGACATTCGTAACTCGGAGTAGGGAAAATATCGCCGGAAGCAACTTCCTGAAACACTATTGTCAACAAATTATCATATTCTAATATTGTATCCTCGAACTTATATACAAACCAAAGGTTAAAAACTAATTGATGAATATTGTTATAGAAAATACGTCTGAAAAGGAAAACATTGTCTATACAATAAAAGTAAATAATATTGTTTCAAATTTTCTTGTTTGATTTAAATTTACCCAAGTGTTCCCACATCACCTTCCACACACGACTTTTTTCACTTCAGAATCAACTTCAAAAGGGAGAGAAGTAAAAAATGACAGTTAATAGGTTAAAATTTCCAACCAAAGGGACTTAGATGGCCAAAATATACCACAGTTACTTATGTTTCTTTGTTCTTCAGGCTCCTTTTGTATGTTCTAGCTCCTGATCAAAGGGAATAAGGGAAAGTGACAGCAGCGGTTGTTATGAATCTGTGGTGTAACAGTGCCTTTGTGTTACTTGGAATTTCCTTTTTCCTTGTATTTTTTCTGGGTTTTGGCCTATGTTGCTTGGACTCTTCAAAATTGTGGGCGTTGGATCCTCAAAAAGTAGTCTATATTTGGAGTATATGACACGAGTGTGGCATCATTTTTGGAGAGTCCGAGTAACATAGGGTTGGCTGAATGCATGAGGATTTTGTTTATTGACTTCTAAATTAGTTTATCAAATCTATAGAAGTTACTTTTAGTTGGCTGCTGCAGCTCTTTTATCTCTTGATCTTCCTAAGCTTAATGTAATTAAAGCTTCAGGCAGCAGTATCACTTTTGTTCCGGAGACTCTTGAAGAGAAATTTGGTCCTAAAGGCATCAAATTTTCAGATGCAGGGACAGTTGAGCTGACTGTTAGAAATGGAAGTTCAGTGAAGCTACAATACCCAATGCACATGTCACTTCTTATAAGCCTAAAGTTTATTGGAAAGATGATGGCTTTGAGGAAGTTCTTTATATCCCTTCCTCCTTCCAGAGGTGGCATAGGTTTGGTAATCAATGAAATCTCGGAGCCTAATCCTAAAGGACCAGCACCCATGGCAAAGACAACAACCCACCTTCTGACCAGTGGACTGTCACAGATGTTGACTCTGACTTTATTGATGCTCTCCAGGTAAATGGCACTATGTCATTTATTTATTTAGAGCAATAAATGGAACAACTTTCTGAATACACCTGCTCCAGACTATCTAAGATAAGATTGGAATGGTAGATTAGCAATAACCATACATGATTAAATGATTGAACAAGGCCTAACCATTATCTCTATTCAAAGACACTTAATTGTTATCAATAACAGCAAGTGTTTTAGGCAAAAATAGAGAATTGTGTTGTGTTGAATTTCTTGATCCTTTATTATCTTTCTCCTCAACAACTAGATTTATTTGTGTAGTGTTTTAGACATGATTTCAATCATAATTGCATTTATCTCTTCTCGAGTATATGAACCACCACACAACTGAACAAGAGACAAAATGTTGAGTTCATAAATGGGAAACAGAAAAGAGAATCAAGTAACAACTGGTTCAATAGCATTTAACAACCAATAGAGCTGCAAAATATCTACGAAACAAGACTCAGCAATTTGTTTTCTCTACTCCATTTTCAACATTCAAAATTTTCACTCACTCTTTTTATCCTCGATTTTCTATCTCAACTCAGCATTGCCAAGTAGAGTCATTTCGAGCAGAGCACAGAAACAAGTCCAGGCAGAAACCCTAGGCCAAGACGACGACTTATCAGAGTCAAATAAGAAATCCGGGAACTGGAAGAACCACAGTTCAAAATTACACCTCAAATAGCTGAGAAAATTGGTGATTATAGAACCAAAATTCAAAACTATTCTCAAAATCCATCAATATACCAAAACAAAAACTAATCTTAAATCATATACATACAAAAGAAATCATGATAGCTAGAATCAGTGAAGTAAAACACACAAATAAGTCGAGAAAATAAATTCAAAATACACCAGACGAAAGAAAATATAAATTACAATTTGAAGAGCAAAATCAAAGAATCAGAAAAATAAAATAGAGCTTACATCAGTAGATTCGTATCCCAAAACTCGAAGAAATCAACAAATTTCTGGCTAAAATATTAAACTCAAACTCAAATTCTACCAGCTGACAAATAATATCAAAAAATTCAACAAAACCTTAAGAAAAAATCAGAGCAACCGAGTATAGTAGGCTATTAGTGAAAAGGGTATTTTCGTAAAAACATCTATTTTGGTAAAAAAGAAATTAGTGAAAAGGATTAAAAGGAGAAAAATCATCTATTTCTGGCGTTATTACTTTTTTTTAAAAAAAAAACAGTAGATGTTAGGACCCAGCAAGTTTAATAAACATTAATGGAGCCTAATGTAACTCCATTCCCTCCATTTCAAATTAATTAAATTATTGAGGTGTTTCAACATCATTTAAGAAAAGAAGATTAAGACATAAATTAGGTTTAACTTTCTATTTTTACCCTTATTAATTATTATCAAAATTATAATTAAAATAACTAAACATTAATTAATAACTAATTTCAATACTACTAACTAATGAAGGGTAAAATTGGAAAAATATTTTAAAAGTAGTCTTGAAAATTGAACAATTAAGTTAATTTGAAAAATAAAAAATGTGTCAACAATTCAATTAATATGAAATGAAGGGAGTAGTATAATTTTGTGGATCATAGGAATCCACAATTCTACAAATTCAGCTTCTTCTTCTTTTTAATTACATCTTTCAATTATAGTGTGTAATAAAATGAAAATTAGCTTTTTTTTTAATATCAATGTATATAATGTTGAATCCCTCATACTAGAGGGAAAGTAGTGGCAAAGGTGGCTAAAAAATGATATGAATCACAGGTATGGCAATTGGCATCCTTGTGTCCACTATTTTAAAAAAATCGTGAAATTTGTTTTATTGATTTTTCTCTAAATAATCCGTATCTAGTATGATTTTAATCCGTCCTCAAATAGGATTAGCAATAAATTGTTGTGGATTAGTTATAACACTTCATAAGAATTTAAATCATTCACAATGAATTACAAATGATTGATTGTAACTTAATAGCGTAATTAGCTATATTTTTATAACCTTTGTAAAGTTGATCAAGGATATCAGGAAATAAAATAAATAAAAGTAATCTTAACAAAAATATTTCTTAAAAATAAACAGTTTTTAGTTGTTTGACCAAACAAGCTCTTTGTAATAAAATTATTCTGGATTAAAAAAAATAAAGACTAATTAAAATTCTTTGTATAATTAAAGTAAAAATAATGTGCTAGAAAGCGCCTCCTAATCAAACTCCGTATATTTTATAGCTATCAAAGGTAAATATTTAATCAAAAGTTATAACACTAATTTATGATAGAATGACATGCATGATTTGGTTAACAACACATCCATTTGCTTTGGGGTGAAATGATGTGGATTCATGAAATATAAAAAGTACTCAAAATCTCAATGTTGGAGCAGAAGCACCTGCTCTCTTTTATATTTATGCTATATGTAATATGTAATATTATACTATATATTCTTCCACAAGCAAAAGATCAACAGATTCATATTTATGCCCAATTTTTTTCTCATCATTAACCAACTGTCCTTTTGCAACATATTTGCAGCAAAGCTGACAATGTGGAACAAGTTGTTCAAGCAAAATTATGAACTCTAAGCTCTGGAATGAATGGGACAACATGCCATTTGGAACCCAAGAAATTGCTTTTCAAATTGGCTGAACATTGACAAGAAGGGATGTGACAAACATTAATCGTCTATTTGATATCAACAACACACCAGTGTAATCCCACAAGTGAAATTTAGGGAGGGTAGAACGACCATATTGAATTTGTCCATTTAACACTTCTTTTGTCCACTTCTTCAGTTGCCTTTGATTTATGCTACGCAGTAAAACTTCCCCTTTTCAAAACGAGTTTAATTACTCTGGCGCTCTACAACATTTCATGCACCAATTATCTGCCAAAACAGTCTTTCGCAAGGACGTACTAAAGACAATTAAGACGATCCAGCCATATGCACAATGAAACCAAGTTTCAGCCTGAGACGTGAAAGAACTTAAGAGAGACAGTACACGGTAAAATGAACGATGAATCGCTCTTTGCTGAGAGCTGTGGAACAAAGGCAGACTGCAGATGGTAAAAATGTGCATAGAAATATATTACAGGGCCAGAAGATATCAATTTTGTAGGCAGAGTTGCTAGTATTTCAATCATCAAGCAACTATTTTTTCTTAAAACCTGGGCAAACTAGAGTTTAACCAGACAACTTTTTGTTTTCCTTCATATCTGAACTGATAGTTATAAAACACAAGTATGTTTTCAACTTGCACAGGAAATTAAAAAAGAAGTAACAAATTACCAAAAGCCTCAAAGCTGTCGATCACATTCGAGTTTTGAGAGTTTATTTCAAGATCAATGTTGCTTTGTTTCAGCTCTACTCGGATCACCATTTGTTTTGTAGACATAACCACTACCTCGTGGAGTTAGAGAGGCTGTTTCCGAAAGACTCTCGGCTCAAGTGAATCAAGCCAAAATAAAGCATAGCAGTTAATAAGAAAAGCAATGTAAAGTCTACAAGAAAGAACAATAACCGCAGCAAAATAGTGCGATACTTGAAATACAATAAACTACTCAATGATAGAAAGCTCCGTTAAATCCTTGGTTCATAATCAGACACCGCGTTATAGGGTTTATGATGACTTTGGCCGGGAAATACCACTTCCTGACAATATCTGCTTTGTATTTAGTGAGGAAGTATCAGTTCCCGGCTTTGTATGCATTGTATTTGGATTTGTGAACCATGTCGTATACAGAAATTTCTTCTGGGGCCCTACATGATTGCATATAAGTTTAAGCTTTTGTCTTTCCCTCATCCATCTTAAAACTATCTTCATGTGCCCTTTGCTTGTCAAGCCTCTCAAGCCAACATCCTGGAGTTTTTACAGGGAAAAACAGTTAGCAAAGAACAGCCTAGAGTTCTCAGAGTTAAGTACCAAGGGTTCATGAGAAATAGAAAAAAGGGTATACTCTGTGCTCGGAAAAAGTACAGCAGCTGAAAAAGAAAGACTCAAAACCCTCAAAGAAACCACCAAAACCCTCAAAATTCCACCACAAATAGAAAAGAGAAAAAAAAAACACCTGTTATTTGTTATATAGCAACTAATTGTTCTTGATATGGTGAATTAGATGCTAGAGATATTCCTTAAATTTAACGGTCAACTTGCTCTTTGCGTGCATCATATATTTCCAACACCTAGAAGAGTTTGCAACAGCCGGCAATTTGTCAAGTTCATTTCACAAACACAAAGGATGATAAAATACAAGGCTGGAGATGCTTAGAGAAGAACGGATCTTAAAGAAAACAAGGGTAACAGATGACAAGATGAGCTGCTGAGGCCTCCTAAGAGACTTGTGAAGCTGCTAAGATCTGGTGTTGCTTAAGCGATCAAGAGCATGAAAGTCTGTGAAGTCTATACCTATTAGCTACAAAGTCACCGCTCAAACTATCAAAGATAAGAGAATGATGTAGAACTAAAGTCAAAGAACATTGTGCATAGGAGCACCATGGAAGAAAACATAATTTCTATGCTTTTCCAAACTTCATAAACTTGAAAGAAAAAAAAAAAGAGGAGACTATTGAAGCATCTTTCAAGCATAACTTTGTGTGCGTCGATTTCAGATGAAAAAGTTCAAGCTGATACATGAACCTGTTTAGCTTGCTTAAGCATAAATCAACTGTTGCAAATTAAGAACTGGACCTCAACAATCAACTTATTGATTTCATCCGTTAAAATATATGCCATATCACTACAGTTTTCAATACAATCATCTAACAAAAAGCCTAGTGTCAACCCTTTGGAAAGAGGCATTGGAAAAATACTATTTGAACTATTATACTGATTAACAATTGTCCATTCATTTCAATTCTAACCAGAGGCAATCAAGTTTTTCCAAAATCTGTAGTTTTGTTAATATCTCAACAAGTCTCCCAAACACCAGCTTAGATGTCCAGGCAGATGTATAGGAAAAGTAAATCAATCTGGAAAATGAAAAGATTAGAGAAAAGGGTTAAAGAAGGAAAAAATTTCAGTTCATTCAACACTGTACCAAAGTCCATTTCTTTTTCAGTATCCAGCAGTTCCAGAATCTAAGATTACCATTAAGGCAACACATCAACTAAATCTCAACCCGAAGCTAAATATATGAATGATTCAAATGTATTCATTCTACGATTCAATTTTTTTTATAGAATGGTGAATTGCCAGGTAAGAGAGGGAATTAATTACCTTTACACGATCCCAGGTTTCGGCAATATTGAGAGGTCCATGCTCCTTGACGATATCGAAGATGGTTCTGGTGATGGTTTGTGTCTGCTCGGGTGGAGTTTTAAGCTTAATGGGTTTCATCTTTGGTTTTGGTTTCCTCCCTACCAACCTTATCGCTGTCGCAAACATCCTTTCTCAATTCCTTCAATCTCTCTGGCTATGGCGTATCCTTCCTCAGTTCCTTCGATCTCTGTGGCTATGGCGTAAACCTTCGATGTTACAGAACCCAGTTTAAATCCCCAGTTGATAAGCCCTAAAATTGCTGACGTTTAATGACAGTTTTACCCTCCTTTATTAGTTGAGACTTGAGAGTATAAAGAACGAATTCCACCACGAGAAGTATTCACTTTATTTTTCAAAGTGTTTAATCATGAAAATCTGAAATAATTCTATTTTATTTTTACTTTTACTATATTTTTTTGTTTTTAACTTTTACCTTAAATTTTTTATTTTTATAAAATGATGCCATTTTAATTATATTTTCATGTTTCAAAGTTTAAATTATATTTTTCTTGGCAAAGTACACTCAAATAATTAAATATATATTTATATAAAAAAAAGTAAAATCAAATACAGTTTCAATTTCAAAAAAATAAAAATTGTAATAATACATAGTAGTTCGTATATTGATCTAATATATGATATTATATAACTATCTATTTGAGATACTATTCTTTTAGAGCATGTTTGGTTGTAGTCATGTACAAAAAATTAATTTTGACAGATGAATGCTGATTTTTAAAAATAATAAAAATTCCTTTTTAATAGTTTCTAACGCAATTTTGCGTGAAATATAATTGACAAAAGTCTGTCAGATTATAACGTTTAGTATTCGTTATTAGCAATGAACAAGAGTTTTTTTTGTATTGAAGATCGATTCTTTTTACTCGTATTGGAGTTGAATTAAAAATTAGAAAAATAATTATTTAAAATAAAACATGTGATGTTATTTAATTAAATAGTTCATACATTTTATATGTTTATCAACACATTAAATAATTTATATTGAATAATGCTTTGTATTTAAACGGTACACAAACAATGGATTGATGGATTAAAATATAACAAAATTACGATAAAATGCGGAGTAATTTATTTTAGGACAAATTCTGTGGTTGTTTATGTATTTGGCCTACTATTAATAAGTATAACTATATTAGTTCGACCGGCTTAATTCGTGGTTACTCATGCACACATATATTGCCAAATGTTTGTGCTAGATTGGACTCATGTAGAAACCTAATTTATGTTCCTTGAGATTACGAAAAGTTACAAATCACAATCTCTAGCAAGGAGCAATTACGTTATATCAAAATTGAAGTCAAATCGTATGTATTTTCGAACGCTCTCAAAGAGATCAAGAAAGTATCACATATAAATATAAAAACGAAATATTTATTTTGAAGACAACATTATACACTCACAATCATACACAAACATATAGAGGCGCGCGACATGAATGCCATCCATGCGTAGGCGCATGAATATCGATCATGTTTGCTTCATATGGAAGCGCGCGGGGCATGGGCGCAGAGGCGCGGGCGCGGCGCGCCTATATACAAAGAAGTGGGAAAACCATGCTTTATGACTATATAATATAATATCACTCAACAACATATGACGTTCACTCCATAAGGGTAAAAAGAAAAAAAAGGTAGACTTGTTAATAGTTTCAATGCATGCCAGGGATCTTGTCCTTGATTTTGTCCATCATTCCTTTCTTATCGTCTCTTTCATTTTCAACTGATGCAGTAGTAGTTGACGTTTGTGAAGTCTGATGTTGATCATGACCTATTTCCTTCTTATCGTCATGAGTAGTACCTCCGGCTCCGGTCAATGTCTCCTTAATCTTCTCAGTTATACCCTTCTTCTTCCTCCGACCACCTTCACCATCATCCTCCGACTGCATGCATGCTCACAAAATTAACAAAACCACCTCATGAAATAAGAGTTTATCAAATTTATTGGTACACTAGGAATATTAGTGACCGATAAAATTTTAATTATATATATGAAAATTCCATTAGATATATAGGAGTTACGTTATTTACCTACAAAATTCCCTATCGCTAAATTTAGTAGTTAATTTCATATTTCTAGTAGCGTTAATTATAAAGTGAATTAGTAATTTAAAAAGTAAGGTAGTTCATCTGGTGTTTTAAAATACACTAATATTATAAAATTCGGTCATTTAAACTCGACGAACAATGTCTGATTAAAAATGAATTGAAAGAGTAGCTGATCATATATAAAAAAAACTTACAGAGCTAGAACTAGAGCTACCAGAACGATGAAGGTGTTGTTGTCCCTCATGCTCTTTCTTCATAGTATCATCATGAGTACCGGCGGTAGGGGCAACACCCATAGCACCACCTTGAGTAATTCCATGTTCACCACTTAGCTGCTGCATTTGGTCTTCGTTAGTAACATGTTGTGCCATTTCTAGTCTCCCTTAACTTTAAAAGATCGAAGAAAATTATATAACTGATTTCAACGATTTGACGATGGATTGATGAGATAAAAAGAGATTACGTACTATGCCATTTATATAGGGAAGAAGTGAAGGTACGTAGAAGCATGTTCGAGAAACATATATAGCAGGTGTAGCACAATAAAAAGAGTGAGCATACAACATAAGACAAGTGTGATCACCCTGTCGGCCGTTTGGCTCAAATTCCTCAAACTGCAATACAAAACTAACACTTGGCCGCACCAACTTTACAAACACAAATTTATTACTCTCACGTCTCCTTTTTACTTTGATTCAAAAAATAATAATTGTATTGTCGATATAAAAGATATTTATTGAATCAAAGTCATGAGTGGTATAAGGTAGGTAATTATATGTAAATCCATAAACAAAAAAAAAAAAATTACTTCTGTTGTTCTCAATCAATCTATGTGAAACAACTGAAATTTTTAAAATTTAAAATTTTGAACTTTATCCATGAGCTTAACCATAAAAGCTTTACGTTTTTTCATAATAAAATGTAAATGTTTAGAAATGTAAATAATATAATAATTTAAAAGTCATATAAATAAATTTGGTCATCTCTCAAAGTTTCAATTATGCATAAATTGAAATGAAAGAAGTAATTAATTGTAATTTCTGTCTATTATGATTATAGAACGAATTATACTAATAAGATATTTTTAACTTTTTAGTATTATATAATTTATACCTAACTAAATGAACAATGATTCATTTTAGAACGGCGTATAATTTATTTATAACCCCCAATTGATAAAGCTAGCAGTTTTGGTCTTTAACGTGGCGTGGTATTAGGTATTATAGGCAAGAGATCAAGGACAAAATGACTTAGATAACATTGTTAATAGATATACAAATATTTGCATGACAAATGGTAAGAGTTATGAGTCATAATGGAAAATAAGGATAAGTTTTAATTTGGGGCATTTTGACAAGATATTGTTGTTTTATTTAATCATTTAATTAGGATTCGATTCCTCTCCATTTCTCTTTTCTCCATTTCTCCCAAGTTTCTATTTGGATTAGTGACACATTTCATAGGTTAAAATAAAGGAAATAGCTAAGATTTAATTTTCCAAAGTAAATCTTTAATCATGATTTAACTAATAAATACAATATTATATATTTAGTATTAAAAATTATTATAATCTCACAATCTTAGCAACATATTATCTTGTCCATTAATATAGGGAAAAAAAGTTCTTCCTAGTTACCTTTTTTTTAAAGTGGGATCTTTTTTAATTTTCTTTTAAATATTGAACTGCTGTCAAATATAGCTAATGTTAATTTTGGAGGAAATAGAAAAAAAAAAGGTGAAATAAAATAGGAAAAATAATACTCTTCAATAGCTAATGGTTAAAAAGAAAAATTCAAGGAAAAAATGCAATAAAAATATTAACTTAAAAATAAAATAAAATTAACATCCTAAGTAAAAAATTAGGAAGAAAACTTTTTTTCCCCTAAATTTATGAATAAGATAATATGTTGTTAAGATTGTGGAGGTTATAGTAATTTTTAAAATTAAATATATAATATATTTATTAGTTAAATCATGATTAGAGATTTACTTTGGGAAATTAAATCTTAGCCATTTATTTTAACCTATGCCATGTGTCATTAATCCAAATAGGAACTTGGGGAAAATGGAGAGAAGAGGATCTGGCTCCTCTCCGTTTCTCTTCTCTCCATTTTCCCCAAGTTCCTATTTGGATTAGTGACACATGACATAGGTTAAAATAAATAGTTGAGATTTAATTTCCCAAAGTAAATCTCTAACCATGATTTAATTAATAAATACATTATATATTAAGAATTAAAAATTATTATAATCTCACTATTTTAGCAACATATTATCTTGTCCATAAATATAGGAAAAAAAGTTCACTTCCTAAATATTTTTTTGTACGTAAGATCTTTTTTTAATTTTCTTTTAAATAATTTTTTTATCGTAATTTTTTGTTAAAGGCATCTTGATCAGTGATTAATTAATTATCCTAGAGATAATCAAGCCATTTTAACAAATTACTTTTAATTTCATAATAAGATTAAGGATACGGTGATACAAGTACGTACGGTAGGTTAATTATGATTTCTATACTTCTATTCAGTTAATTATTCTTATAATTAGATAAAAAGATTATTTAAAAGAAAATTAAAAAAAGATTTTACATACAAAAAAATATTTAGGAGGAGACCTTTTTTCCCCTATATTTATGGACAAGATAATATGTTGCTAAAATAGTGAGATTATAATAATTTTTAATACTTAATATATAATGTATTTATTAATTAAATCATGGTTAGAGATTTACTTTGGAAAATTAAATCTTAACCATTTATTTTAACTATGCCATGTGTCATTAATCCAAATAGGCACTTGGGGGAAATGGAGAGAAGAGAAATGGAGAAAAGACAAATCCACAATTAAGGACTTTAAATTATACGTGTAGTAATATTTAAGCAAAAAATATTTGTTTAGGAGATTGATATATGAGGAATTACCACAAGATAAATGAATTCCTTAATTTTCACAACTAAGATATTTTCTAAAACCTACAAAGTGTATTCTTTTTGCAAATCCCAGCTATCGTATGGTAGTGGAAAATTGTGTCTATTCCAACATCTATAATGTTGTATTATATGTTATATTCTTTTTGCAATTAAGGACGTTTGTCGATTTTCTTTTAAAGTCAATTGATTTTTCTTTAAGAAATCAATAGAAAATCTATGCTTAGTTTGTCAAATTTTTTCAATCTATTTTCATATTTTTTTTCAGTAGCGTATGTCTTTTATCTCTTAAAATAGGATAAAAAACTTATGTATACAACTTAAGTACCTTAATTACTTAAGTATTGTTGGACAAATTATCTCTTAAAATAGGATAAAAAACTTATGTATACAACTTAAGTACCTTAATTACTTAAGTATTGTTGGACAAATTAATGATATTCAGACATTGTTAAATTAGGTCTTAGGCCTAACTCACACCCCAAAAGCTAGATCAAAGGGAGGAGGATTGTCCAAGCCTTATAAGGAGTCCACCCATCTCATTAACCACCGATGTGGGACTTTTGTCATTCTTTAACACCCCACCTCACGCCCAGTGCTTAGCATCTGGTGCGTGGGCAATTTTGATTTTGGGGGCCCCAACATCGGGTGAGACGGGCCCTGCTCTGATACCATGTTAAATTAGGTCTTAGGCTTAACTCACACCCCAAAAGCTAGTTGAAAGGGAGGAGGATTGCCCAAGCCTTATAAGGAGTCCACCCATCTCATTAACCACCGATGTGGGACTTTTGTCATTCTTTAACAGACATCATATGCATCTAAACTAAAATTCTCGATCTACTCAATAAATAGAGTGCACATCTAACCTCTTGATGAGATAACTAGGTGAAATTTATTGACGCCATCAACATTACTGACCTTATTGTTAGTATTTATGCTATGTTAAAGGTTGATCTCTCTATTCATTGAATTTTTTAATAACATCAAATAAATGCACTAATTAAAAGATCTTGTATTCATAACAAATGCATTTGTAGGAACGTAACTGATTAAGTTCATGAATTTGCGACCTTTTGTGATGTGCACTATTTGTTCACTTCTTGCCTGCAATTATATCTCTTTGATACAATTATACTTAATTAATGTTAATGTGTTTTGCTTTAAAATATTATTTTGGGTTTTAGTGCCAAAATAATATAGCGATTTAACTGTTACAAAAATTATCATTAGATCAATATCAATTGTAACACCAACACATGATCCAAGAACCTTTTCAATCAAACATTTGTTTGTGCCATTGAGAAGAGAGTCATTAACTCATGAAGTCTTATCGTAATAAAATCACACTTAATTGATTTTCATTGCTTTATAATACAACGTCATTATAGAGCGTAAAATATAATTCGAAGGACGTGGACCTACACACATATCTCCTCCACAATCAACGTCAATAATATTGAGGGGATATATTGACTTAATACATCCCCTCAATTTCATGGCACAAAATCAAAAGTTACCTTATGATGTCTCATGATTTTTTAAAAATTACTTTCCAATATGTTGGGTTTAGGTTGACTTCATATTTGTTCACAAATCAATTGCGAAACAATTCATATTTTGTTTACAAATATTTTAAACAAAAAAATAAAAAATAAATTGGTCCACTTACTTTATGAATCTTTAAAAAGATTATTATGTCACAAACCCTTCGAGTAAAGTAGTAAATATTCATGACGTGCAACATTTCTAAGTCATACTTTTAACCAAAACATCCACTCTTCTTTTTGTTATTTTAATTTCCTTATCTTTTTAGATCTAACGTATTGACCTTTTAATATTTCGGTGATTCAAAATATTTTGTCCTTTTTACCTTTTCCAAAAAGCAAAAGGGTCTGTTCTTGAAATTTTACCGTAAAACCTAACATGTTTTAGAAATTTTACATGTTCGAATCATTTATATCTTGTGATTGAAAATAACATTTGATAAGAATTCTTGTCTAATAGTGGAAAATGGACATCTTGAGATTAGAAGGCTTCACTACACTTTCTAATTTCTCGAGTCTGATAAGTCATAAGCTACATCCTTACATTACAAAAAACGTGAAATTAGTTATGATATTAATGTATCGGCAATCCCCAGCTAATATATTGCTAAATAGCTCCTACCTAATTGAATATCTTATAATCTGTTGTTGATCCATACCTAAATGAGATTAAATTGATATAATTTTTTTGTTATTTAGCTACAAAATTTTTACATTTGCTACAACACTACTATTGTTATTGAACACGAGTTGGCCTAGGCTGATCGGTAATAGATTGGGCCTAAGTGGTGTATTATAATTGGGCCTAGGCAGGAGAATGGGAGTCTGTTACAACTCCCTTTTCACTTTTTTTACGGAGTATAACTATAGTCCATATTACATTTAAAGTCGAAGTGG